AAACCTTTTTTAAATGCGCTGATGGTTTGATTGCTGGGTTATTTATTTGGCATTAATTAATCTCTTATCTGGTTTCCATTATTTTCCATTAATTTTTTTAAAGCAGCTCATATCTTATCGCTTTTAAAACTACAATAATGTTGGTTTAGTTTATGAAAAAAATCATTTAAAATAGTACGCGCCTTATTTAAAATATTGTCAATATTTCCCTATATATACAGCAAGGAGCACTGATGATGATTCATTCGGAATCGAAATATGGCCTTATTTGCAGCATGAATTCGAAAAATAAGTTTATTTTGAATTTTAATAAACTAAACGTTCACCAAAAAACTTTAGTGAGAAAAATCGAAAAAACGAACTACAAACATATTAACGCCAAACATTCGGTAGAATTTATAGAATATTGTAAAAATTATGGTCTATTACCAACACACACACACACACACACACACATATATATATATATATATATATATATAGATATAGATATAGATATATATAGGATATACTTATAGATCATAATGAATACAGTATAATATTTTATATATACTTATAGATCATAATGAATACAGTATAATATTTCATATAAAATTATTTCATGTTCAGAATAATGCATGTGTGGCCATCATAATTTATCCAATGTTTTCATGTGAAAATTTGCTATGCTGCCTAGCCGAGCTCATTGTATATGATGCCATTTAATTGGGTTAACATAATGATGATCATTCATCTTATAAAATGTTGTCGCGCTTCATTAGTTGTAGCATTATTTTCATGCAATTTCGTGCTCATCCTACGATGTATTATGCTTAACAATATCATAATTTTGTTACATTCTACTTTAAAATTTATTGATCACATGCTTATTTTATTCGCTTGCATAATGTTATATTGTGTATAGTTAGTACTATTAGTTAGTATAGTACTAGGTTAGTACCTACCTACCAACATATATTTGTAGTGCAACTTGAATGATAGGTTTATTTGGATTTATTACAATTTACAAAACTTTGTGTTTTTAATTATTTTGTATTTTCGTATTTTTGTTTTTCCTACTTTGTGCTTCTCTCTCTCTCTCTCTCTCTCTCTCTCTCTCTCTCTCTCTCTCTCTCTCTCTCTCTCTCTCTCTCTGTTTATATATGTTTATATGTATTTATTTTTATACATTGCTATTTATAATATTGGAGCCATCATTGAAATCCAATAGAGTAGAAATTATTTATTGCTCAATGTTCAGCACCAAGTTGTTTTTCCAGAACATACCGGAGCATGTTACGTCATTTCAGTGGATAACTTTTTTCATTAATTACATGCAATGCATTAATAAAAACAACAGCGTTTAATTTGGTTGAAATACTATTTCAGGTAGTGTTACTGCTACTTTGGGTACTGCAACTTTAGTTTCTCATGTCACCAACTACACTAACACTATAAACGTTATATACTTATTTTACTTTTACCGCTTTCGTTTTTACTGCTATTATGAAAAAAAAATCAACTATGTGAACTTCACGTACACTACTAATAATTAATTAACTAATAATATCTATTTTGTGGCCATTGCTGATTTTACTATTACTGCTGTTACTTACTATTGCAGTAGAAAAATTACTACTCCTTACAACTACGTATTGATAATTACTGCCTGCATACTGTGTTGCTATTATAACTTCCAGTCTAGCATACAGTTGTAACATGACACTTTGATTGTAATATAAGCATGTAGGACTGTTTCCCATCCTAGCATTTAGATCACCATGAACAATAAACACTTGCTATAAACCAGGTCGGGATAATATGCATGCACTATTGTATTCCTCCAGCATTGAAATCTACATCTGATAAAGCACACTGAATGGAGGAGGCCTTATAATATCACTAAAACTTTTATTTTTTTACACGATACTCTGAGTTTATAATTTCATGTTACACAGCTTTTTATTATTTCATTTTCATATTTTTTTGTGCGTCTGTGTTACTTATTACGCCTATATTGTTTTATTTTTCATAATTCTTCTCTGTGCTATAGTAGTTTATTATTATTGAATAATTATGATGAGTAATTATATTTGTTTGATCCCACTCTGCTGTTGCTTCCCCATTGTAACTTATTATTATGTCATTACCTTGACGAGAAACATATCTGATTAATTTCAGTTTTAATGTATACAATTTATTGGTTGTATGGATCGGTGCAGTTACATTTTACATACAATTTAATTTTTTATTAATTAAACAATTGCCATTATATGTGAAAGTATATACTTGTATGAATAATTGCAAAAAATATGTATTTTAAAAAATTTTGCATCTTTTTCAGAAAAATCAAAGAAAAAAAGACATTGAAAGAGTGGAAAGCAACTCAAAGAAGATAAGGAACTGGGTGGCAATGAAGTTTCAACAAGTCTGTTTTATGTTTTGCATTGAATGTGTTTATTACAACTGCTTATTAGCAACGATACTACTGTTAATTATTATTCTTCTAATCTAAGCTTTTTTATTATTTTTAGATGAGGTTTAATTGTTATTCTTATCAAATTACTTAATTCATCCTATATCATATCATAAGAAAAACATCATATATGATGTTTTTCTTAGGACTCTAGTAATAAAATATATGAAATAGATGTACAAAAACATATAATTTCATCTATTTTATTTCATTCCTTTATGTGTAAATTTGAACAGATACATTATTTTTGCAGAGTTAAGCGCTGGCGTTTGAATGTTTGGCTCAAGTGGTTTTGAACCTAGACAATGTGTGAATGATTCATGATCAATCACGTTGTGCACGTACTTGTTTGCATTAACATTCCGTAGATAAGCTGTTTTCCATTTAATGCTCTTGTTTACCAATATTAATCTCTTTTGTTTACGAAAAACTGTTGCTGTTGACGATTTGGTGATGAGATGATGAAGTTAAAGATGGTGATGTTGTAATGAGAATTTCATGATTCATCAGTGTTTGGAGCTGATGAATGCATTTTGTATACAATATTTTGAACCAAGTGTTTCTGCATTCTTTGCTGATTGACAAGGAATGTGAGGAAAGGTTTGTTTCATCATTCAGTATAATTGAAGGATTTCAACTTGCTCGCTGCCTTTCATTCGTTGTAATTTTCCTCATTAAATGTTATCTAAGATCTTCTGTGTTCGTTTGTAATTGGCTTTAAATGATGACAGTGAAACAGATTAAGAAATTTTGAGTTTTTTCTCGCTATTTTTTTAATTATTATTATTATTAATATTGTCTTTATTGTTGTTGCAATTGTTATTGTTGTTTAAAAATATGACACAAAAAATTGTGTTGCAAAAAAGAAACAAATTTGAAACACAGTTTATCTTGATCAAACTGTTCCTCACGCAGCTTTTTTTGAGCAATTTTTTAAAAATTTGGTCATCTGTGCTTTTTTTATTTTTTTTTTCATTTCTGACTCATTTTAATAGTTGGAACTCAAAAATTCACAATTGGAAGAAGAAAAACTTCTGTTGGAAAAAGAACTGAATTTGCTGAAAGAAAAAATGAAGAAAGTTGAGGTGTGCTAATATTTTTCTTAATTTTAAATAGTTTTTACATTCTCATCTTTCCTTTATTCTTCTTCATCCCATCTGTACACTCTTTTTGTACATGTTCATTCATTTATATTTTTGCAGTTACCTGTGATCTTTTCTATCATTTTTTTAATTTTGTATTTTTGTATGAAAATAAAATGAAAAAATAGATTTTTCAGTTTTTTTCATTTTTTATTTGAATTTTGTTCAACATTTGCGTAATTCTTTACTTATCGTAGCAACTGTCCAATGTTAGTCAGTAGAATGTAAAATCAAAATTAATGTCTCTGAATAAGTTGAAGAAATGCGAAATATGACTTTGAAATACTGCAGTAGTAACACGTTTTAATTGAAATAACTCTGTTATAGTATGCATATAATCATCTTATCAAACTAAATTCTACTATAAATAAATTTTTTAAATCGTATGCTGATGTTTCGTGTGGCAAGTATGAAAAACAAATTGAAAAGTTTCAACTTCATGTTTATGAGACATTTTCTGCAGAATGATAATTTTATGATCTTTTCACGATGACTATGAAGTGTGAAAGCATGTAGATTTTTGTGCAACATCATAAAAACTGTCAGCTTTTCACTGCTACTAAACTAAAGAATGTAGAAATTTGAAGCCTGATGAATGTATAAAAACTTAAAATTATATGGCTTCAACTTCCAGCCAGCTACTCATAGAAAACATTAAAATGAATAAAAATCTTTTATACAAATGCCTTTTTTCCTACTGGATGGTATTGAAAAAACTTTAAAAATTTATATAAATTTTGAATGACATCATGACCCGTGTGAATATTAAATCATAAAAATACATATAAGAACATATAAAAAATAACAATTATACATATAAATATAAATAATGTATATAATAAAATAATAAAAAAAGATGGATATGAACTAAAAGATGGACATTCAGTCATATAAGATGAACTGAAACTTAAGCCTGACTATGCATCAACAGACAGGAAGGCAATGATGTTCCAATGTTCCAATCAATTGCTGTTGATATTTTAAAATTATTGCCATGTTCGTATCATTAAATAACTTTATGTAAATAATTAAATTGCTAACAATAAATATGGATGTATGTATACGTATATAGATACATATTCATTTAGTGTTAACTAGATTTTTCTATTCATGTTGCTAACCATAACAAAAACGATGAAGATATGAATATTCAGAAAAATACAAAATGCAACAAAAGAAACCGGAAGCCCAATGATAAAATGTTATGGGGAAAGAAAAGAAACCATAAAAAACGCTCTTGTGAATGCAAGCAATGTTAAATGTTGAATCTCACGTTACTGTGTGGTTGCATGTGTGATAGGAAGCTGCCTACAACAAATTGACTGTGTGTGCATCCGACTTCATATATAAACATAAAATGTTAACTTAATGTTTATCTTGATGTATTGTTTCAATTCATAATAATGGTTCTCGGTGGTTCTCACACAGAGAAATCTACTAAACCACTACAATCTTTGTCATGTTATGTTAATGCCTCCATAGAGTTTTTAAATAATATAATGTAATACATTATAATAGAAAAAAAACTAAACTAACCCATCGAAAGTCTTAAATTTCTAAAAAAATTTCATTTTTGAATGAAAAAATTGCAAAATATAATCAATCAGCTTATTCTCATTCACACATTCTCTACACTGTTTTCAGGTCGGCACTTATCAAACCTAGACATGAAAAGTGTTCTTAGTCATATCATTAACCTGCACTTCAATTTAATATATACTAAATTTTGTAATCATAGCGCTAGCATAATTGTATTTAAATCACTGGGTCTTGATTGGGTATGTTTAATAAAACCAGAATTTTTGGTTGTTGTTTTTTTTCCTTTTGTTTAATTTTTCATGTTTTTAGTAACTAGCTATTCGTTGCTTATGTTATTGTGTGTTAAAATTGTTTCGAGAAATTTTATCATATGAGGAAGATTCTATGTTAGCCAAAGTTAGTAAATAGTTTTAATGCATTCAGCTATTTTTTCACTTTAATCTAGCTTGGTATAGATTTATCTTAGTTTAATTATTTCAAATTCATCATCGTTATATATTCTCTGTCTTATTATGTAGATTTTTAAAATTGATGCTCCTCTTTTGAACTCGTGAAATTTTAAAAATGTCAACGATTTTATCTATTTTTGATTCTTCAAAAGAGACCTCCTAAGCAGGCGAGCGCAAATTTTCAGCAAGCTCAATCGACGCCACCTCGTACGGCGCCCAGCCACAGTAACAAAGATCAACTTCATTTTCTTTCTTCCAATTTTTTCCATAACAAGTCACCCGATACCGATGACGGTAATGATGACGACAACCAGGATGATGATAACGATGATGATGTCGGTGATAAGAATTACAATGATAGTAACAACTATTCAAATGATAATAAGAATAATCTATTTGAATCTCCACAACTACAATACATCAATGATGATAACCAGAAAGATTTTCCAACAGTTCTATCTTCATCATCACTGCCCATCATGATGTCCGGTCATGATATGATGAACTCATCATCGTCATCATCCACCGCGTTTGCACCAGCCCCCTTGTTGCCCACCAATAAAATGCCCCCCATGCCTCCGGTAAAAATAGAACGGAAGGTTTTCCCCACCGATCTCTCGCTTTCGTTTGTCAGTTCGTGTGATGATGACAGACTTTTAAACGATAGTTTAGTTCAGTCCGTCAATCACGATGATGAAGATGTTGGCGCTGGTGATGGAAATGATGGTTTAATGAATGAAAACATTGGCAACAGTCAACAGACTCTAAAAGATTATGTCAACAGTTCTAAGCAGGTTACTCTTACATTAAATTATGTTATATTATCGTTGTTTTGTTGTTGCTAGGTTTTTGTTTGTTGTAGGTATTAGTAGAGATATTAATTTTTTGGGATTGAGTAATTTTTCTCAAACTAATAACTGGAAGTGGTGAATTTGCGCATGCGTGTTGTTAAACCGGCTGAGTTTAGCTGTAACATTTTCTAGATTCAGTCTCAAATCTTATGCACATATTGACTGACTGCTTTGATTTTATGAACGTTCATTTGGAAAAACAAAAGCACACATTTTTGTCCTACCACCATATTGTTTCTCTGGTGGTCATAATTTTTTAGACGTAGTATCTTGTTTCTCTGGTTATTGGATCAGCAAGATCCTTAATTGACGATTTGATTTCATCGAATGTATCATCTGCCATTAGATTATTGGGATGAACGAATTTTGACCTTGGTTTCAAAATTTATTATGCATGCCCTATTTATAATATATATCATATGGCTATATGAATATTGATATCACAATGTATTGCATCATCTTCAGCATGGCATACAGTTTGTGGATCTGTAATGTGGATTGAATGATTTTAAGTTGATTTTGTTTTGACATGCAGTCATTAATATGAATATCGTATCAGTTTTGGTCATCCGGGCACCATTTATTTGATTCTTATTCTTCTTGCGTAATTCATAACAAATATAACAATTTTTTTAATTTCAATTTTTCAATATATTTTATCCTATATTTTGCTTCGACAATTTATTCTATTTATATTTATGACGTGTGTATAGAGTCATGTATCAGGTGATAGGACTGAATTCCCATAAAGCACGTTTCAAAACGTTTTTTATTACTATCCTTTGCTTTATTTTATTTTTAGATATCTGACAGTTGTAACTCTCAGGCGTCAAACAAGAAGCGTAAAAACTTTCAGAATTTCGTATGCCATGATAGTTGTAACAAGAGAAACGTTAACATAAGCAGTTCAGCTAAAGTTAAATCAAGTGCAATTAATTCCTGTCATAATAATAATCCAAGCTCCTTGACGCTGAATAAAACAAATAACAACACGGCATCAGCTCTGAAGACAGGCAAACCATCCACCATTGATAAAAATTTCAAACCATCTTCATACGCCAACAAAAAATCATTCAACAATTCAACGAAAGCTGGTACATCCAGTTTCAACGGCAACGGTAACAACAGCAAACCGCCTACTCCGCCACTCAGAAGAATGCCATCATGGGTCAGTTACAGTGTCGCTACGCTTTCTCAAATAATTATCATTTTTGAACTTTTTAAATTTGTATTTGCATTACATTAAACCACCTTAATTAGAATTGTATTTTTTTCTTCTGTTTATTTTTTTCTTCTGTTTATTATATATTTTGCTTGTGTATCAAATCAGACATTTTCGGAGTTTGATTATTTCTTAATAGTAAAAAAGTTATCATTGAAGAGTAACTCATAGATTAATTGGTGAGAGGGATATATAGAATAGAATTAAGAAAACTGAGTTTAGAGTTAGTCCTAGATAAACACATTTAAAGAAACTGAAGAGGTAATGAAAATTCTGACCTTATACAATAGTTCCTGTTAATAGCTGAATATACTTGTGTTATTTAATAGCGTATCTCTAGTTATATTGGGCCATTAAATGTTATCGTTAGAAAGACTGATGGTTTCAGGCATAATGCATTACCTTTTATTTTTTTTTTGTAATGCATTTTCGTGCATGCAGAATTCTATGTACTAACTATGCACTGCCTACATTAGGGTTTTATTTATTCTATTTAATGTATTTTAGAAAATTTATATTTATTTATTTATATTTTTAACAGTAAAACTTGATTAACCAATTCAGTCATAATAAATTCTTCTTATTATTTTTATGAATGGATGCATTTTATTTTTAAGTGATAAACAGAGAATAAATGAAATCCCGAAATTAATATGATGAATTATAATGAATTATGAATCCCAATTTATTGCCTACTCCATGCAGTGCATCCTTATATTCTCATGTTACTTGCTTCTCAATAAATACAAACACTGCAGTTCTTTAAAATTCTATAGAAATTGTATCCATTATGCTTGCATGCCATGTGTTGAGGTCATCATTTATTCATCAATTGCATGCTTCCCGTATCATCATCAGTCCTATATCGTTTTACTTATTTTCTTCTATTTTTTTATTCATTCTATTTTCATGAAGTTTTTGTTATTTTCTTTTTCTCTATGCAGTTTCTAATTATGATCGTAAAATTTAGGAGAGTCGAATACGCGAAGCTGCAGTGGATGCCTTTCAGAAGATGCCATCATGCAGTTCGTCGTCGTCGTCGTCTTCATCAGCCTCTCATCATACGTGTGGACATTCTGCTCGAGTTTTCTGTAAGTGTTCTTTCTCCTCTGTATGATGAGTTGTTGTGATGAAGGTGATGATGATGATGGGAATATTATGTGGATTGTTTGTTGAAGGTGATGGTTCGGAATGATGAGTGAAATGCTTACGTTTAATGGTTTGGTGGTGGTATTAAGGCTGTTGATGATGTCTTGAGGATGTGGCAAATGTAAGTGATATAGTGAGTAGGTTGTGGATTGGATGATAACGGCTGTGATGATGAGAATGATGATGATGATGATGATGAGAAGGAGGAGGCAAATGATGATGATTATGATGAAAATGTTATTATTGTGGTACCATAAATTATGCTTGTTTATTGCTTCACCGTTTTAATATTACTGTCTCCATGCCAAACATCAATTGATCAATTGGCCATCCATTTTATAACAAATTTCTTTTTTGGTTGTTGTTTATCTCTGCATTGGTTGGCTCTCATGTCAAATTGTCAATAAGTATAAATATAACTATCTGTATGAAACAATCTATCAAGGCTGCTGTCCAGTACATGCATGTCATTTTAAATGTAGATTTTAAAAATATGAAAAGGATCAAAAAAATTTTGCTGCATGATTGTAGGTTATGTTGAAGTTGAGTATTTTGTTGAATATACAAATGTTGTTGACTCCTTCATGTTTTAGTCGCTCGTTGCTTGTTCTTTTTCAAATTAGATCATTGTAACATTTTTTAAATTATAAATTTTAAACTATATCGGAATATTTATCGTTTCAATATTTACTGACAATATATATTGATACTAACTCTCATCTCTGATTGATGAAGTATTGAGGTACAACGTCTCCTTCATGTCAAATAAATCTTCAGACTCTACCTACCTGTACACCTATCTTCCTTCCTTGCTCTCAACATTTGTTGCTTTGATAGTAATTATATAACTACCCTGTTTTATCCGAGTTTTGTAATATATCTTTAAATTGCAAATATCCTGTTTTTTTTTATCGATATATTTATTTATTCGTTTATTCATTCGTTTATTCATTCGTTTATTTATTCATTTATTCAATCAATCAATTGTTCACCAATTCATTCATTCATTCATTCGTTCGTTAATTCATTATTGTTGTTGTTGTCATTTCTACAAAATACTTTTTCTCTAAAACATTAGGCTTGTGAGTGTGAGGAATTTTTTTTTTCAAATCACGGTAGAGTAAAAAAACTATGTATAGTTTGATTAAATACAAATTAAGAATGCTATTAATATCATTAATTTTAATGGTTAATTAATCAATTAATCACTTTATTAACTGATGGTAGTTTTTTTTAACCAAATCATTGTCACTTGTCAACTGTAGCATGTAAGAAGCTTTGCGTTTGACAGAGCTGCATTAGGTAGGTAGGTAGGTAGGTAGGTAGGTAGGTAGGTAGGCAGGCAGGTAGGTAGGTAGGTAGGTAGGTAGATGAATTAACGAATGGGTAGTGAATAGATAGATTGTTTAATGAATGAATGAATGGATAGATGGATTGATGGATAATAAGTAGATGAACAAAAATTTGTTTAAGGTATAGAAACATTGCTGGCATTTTAATCTTTCACATGATCTTTGCTAGAAGCTTTTAAAAATATTGGTTGTCATTATTTTAAAATGTAGACTTGGTTTTTCTAAACTATTCTTTTTTTTTTATTTTAGACCTCTTTTGAAATGTTATTAGTGAATGTTTCTTAGTCTTTATTTCTTCAGTTGAATAGATTTTTATTTTAAATGTTGCACGAAATGTTTCCCATTTCATTTACTGACTTCAAGACGTTGCTTATAAATAGACACACATTTGTACGTTCTAATGTCGAGATATGTTACAGTGCGTCGGTCATCAATTTGTTTGGATTTTAAAAATAGACTGAATAATTACTGCCACGTCAAATAAAAATTTTGAGATGTGCTTCAGAAGAATGATTTTTTTGCAGATATTCACACAGATATATGTGTTTTGCAGATGTATTTAGTTAGCTAGTAGCTATGAAAATAAGATACATTTATTTGACTGACTATTGAATTAGTTTAAAAATTATGTCGGCGTCAAATTTCCTGCTACTATATCTCATGCTAATGTTTCGGGTTCACGTAGATGAATGAAAGGAAGTATGCGTTCATTTGTTATAATTCAGTATGGAATGTTTCTATTGAAAAACAAAAGACCTAAAATTTCTTTCGTGGAAGTTTCACACTACATATTTATCTTGCTTATTTTTTCTTTCATCTTGAAAATTACATCCTCTTCCGTCTTTTTGCAGCTATATTTCTGCACCTCAAACATTTTTCACATCATATTATTGCTTGAAAATGTCGTTTTATTTTTACATTTTAAAATTTGCAGCATATTTCAAAAGAGCAAGTTGTGTGGAAGAAGAAATGGCTCTATATGCTCTTCACAGTGGGGTACTGGTTATTTTTTATTTTTGAAATAATAAAAAAATCTAATGAATTTGAATGCGTCTAATTGTGTTAAGCAATTATATCGGTGGCAATTTCTATCTGCAGTTGCTGGTGAAACTGTCCAATGCTCAATTCAAGTCGTCCTCCGCAAGTCATCCGTCAGAAATGAATGATGACTCACGTACAACTGTGCATCTTGATGTCATTCAACATTTTTGCAAGGAGCCAACCACCATTGGTACACTCAGTTCGAAGAATTTCATGCATAAACAACAACAACAACAACAACAACAACGTCATTATCATCATCAACCTCGTCATCAGCATCATCATCAGCATCAGCAGTGTGTCCCTCTCACTCATTCGACTGCATCAATGTGTGATGAGGATCTCGCGTCAAATCAGCGACAACAGCCTCATTACGTTATGTCCTCATCATCTCCATTCAGGCCAACAACGTCAAGATCGCCACAGAAACTTCTGAAGAAAAATAAAAAATTCCACAAAGAAAAGAGATGCTTATTGGAATGTAATGGTGCTTACATTAATACTGAACATAAAAGTGCCGACGTTAATGACGGTCCTCTCTCTGCTGTTGCTGCAGCTGACAAACAGCCAGATGTATGCCAGGAATCATCTAATTCCTTAGCACTACATGATCATTATCTGCAACAACAACAGCAGCAGCTACAACCTTCAATGAATTATGACGAGTCAGCGAACACAACATACTGCAACCAACTCACACAATCGGACACATCCAGTGATTATGCTTTGCCCCCAGATGATGATGATGATGTTGTTGATGGTGTTGACGGTCTTGGTGACTATCATAATCGTGATGATAATGATGACGAAACTGGCATGAGAGATGGTAGTAGTGGTTGTGGAAAAGACGGAAGCAAGCGAAACTGTAAAAGATCTTCTTGCAACAAAATCATCAGCGGTTCAATGGGTATTGGTTATAATGATGATGACGTTAATGATGATGAGGAGAAGGAAATGAACACTTATGATGATGGCGTGGATAGTCACATGGAATCACCTAAAAAGTTTTCTGTGAGAAACAATCATGGTGATAATAAGAATGATGACATTTATAACAACAACTACGATAGTGATGATAACGACGACGATTCTAGTCTGGTTAGCATTTATTTTACATTCCGATGTAAAACTTTTGTTGACTTTAAAGATATGTCCTCATAACGTTGGTTGTTGTAATGTAATTAGGGTATTTTGCAATTTTTTGTGTAATTTTTTGGTTCTTAGTGGCATGTTTATACAAATTATTTATGATCGTTTAATATTGCAAATAAAATTTTGGTTTATATATATTGGTCTTCAAAACTGTTTTGTAAAGTTTTTATAGTTTATTTTTTGAACAAGAAAATTAAAAATACATGTTATAGATCATGAAAGTTTATTTAAATACTTTTTTACTCAGCAACCGACAAAATGTGGATACATGTTCCTAATCGCGTCACATTATCCCACCACTGATAATAATAATAATAATGACGGCAATGATGGTAATGATGAAGTTAGCAGAATTCTATGGAGAAGATGCTGGTGTGTTTGTGGTGGTGTTCAACAGGTGGCTGCTGATGCTGCTGCTTCTACTTTTGCTGCAGCTAATAACGATGATGATGTCGCTTCTTTCTTTTATATTTTTAAATCTAAGGTTTGCCTTTTATAGTTGATTTATTTATGTAACGTGATTTTGAATACTTCATATTGGATACGCCTATCTTATATTGATTGCTGTTCACTTGCTAAAAAATCTGGTTACATGTTGTAACTGCATGCTAAAAAAATGTCGTAACGTTAAGTTAGCATAACAAAGATATCGCATTTTACATTATTGTTTTTCTGGCATCAAATTTTCTCTTATAAAAAGCCTTGATAAAGAAGGTTATCGTCTCTTGTTTATGCAACGTGCTTGCATTTCCTCATCTTTCAGTTTAACTTTTTATTGTTGTTTATTTCATGTCAACTCGACGCTCATCTCAAAAGACCGTTCGTTATGTTGTTTAAGAATTGTTGAACTGTGTGAATTTTGATAGCATGCAGCAACCCCCTTGAAGAGAGTGAACATGAGAAGCTGTCTTTGTGTAACCAGAGAAGAAAATGTTGTCATTGTTAGCGTTTGTTGTTTATATTTTTAATTTTTTTCATCATTATTTTGCAAACATTTGAGCAATTTTTACCCCGATGATTACAGGATTAATAGAATATTTCGCAAAAGCGTCTGTTTAACGGTGTACGGGCCGTTACAATTTTTATGATATTTATTTCCTTCAGGTCAGTCTAGCACGAAACAACCAGGATGAACCTTCAACTGGCGATCATCATATATTGAAGTTGGCATGTACCAGCAATCAACTTGCTACGGAATGGTGCTTAGGTAACTAATTTACTTTCATGCACAGCTTCCATGCCTCGTTTTTACACTATCTTCTGTTCAGTAATGATTCACCAACATTTAGTTGCAGCCTTTTCGTCATTATTTAATAATATTCAATCCTTTATTGCTATTTCATCTGACTAGCAGCTCAATTTGTTGTCATCACTTTGATTTTGAAGTGTAGGCAGCATCGTATTTCTGTATTGTTTTGTATTTGTTTGTATTCAATGCAAAGATTTGCAATGCATTCTTCTGCTTGATTTGCTTGAATGATTATTGATGATTTTTATAATTTTTTTGTAAAAAATGAAGATTAATATTTTTAAAATTTTATTCATGAAGTAAGCTTTGCACAGGTCGTAATCATTTTGATGAATGATCACTTAATGATATTTGCGAAACATAAATAAATTTTCAGTATTATATTAACTTGGAAAATTGATTTTTCAATAAAAAATGTTTTCGTGCCTGTCTTAAGGGGAAAACAGTTATAAAATAAACGAATAAATTCTTTTTTCTAGCACTGAACAAAAAGCGTTGTGAATTTGAACTGACGGAAAAACATCTGGATCAAGTTGCCAGCTGGGTCACCTTGGTATGGTCAATTATCCTTGGGCATCTAATAAATTGAGCATTTTTCTAATTATTTATTAATTGTTAATAATTCTTTCTATCATGTCGAGTTGTTTGTTGATTCTTTTTTCAAACTCGCAACCACCCATTTCAACAAATTCTTCTTAATCCGTCCATTCCTAATTTTATTTCCTTTTTCCACAAATAATTTCTTGAACTGTAGATTGATTGAACTGAACGTGTCATGCACGTTTTGTGTATATGTGCACATCTGGTTGCATCCAATCATGTCCACTGTAAGGCAAGAGTGGCTTCTGTACAATGAAGCTTACGATTACCATTTTAAGTGTCGCCTACTTGTAAAATCCTTCTTAAAAGTTCCCACCGTTTACGTAAAACACGAAGTTTCTGATGTGCACATTTTGTCTGTTAAACTCTGTTCATCCATCAAAACAGATTTTTTTGAAGGGTCATAGTTGTTTAAGTCAACTTTTTACTTAAACGCTTAACATTCACTGGCGCATTTATTATTTCAGTTCAGTCAAGTTTACTTTATGTTTGGTTGTTTGGTGAACATTTATGGTTCCTAATGTAACATATTCCTGTTTATAATTACTCATCACTTCAACATAATTTAAATAATGGATGATGAATAAATATTAAAATGATGAAGACGACGATAGATGGCACCTCAACCTGCTGGTCTGTGTTGAAAGACAATTCAATGGTTCTCTTTGAACAGCCTCTATCAGAAGTTATTTTTGTTTATATTGTTGTTTTCCTTATACTTTTCTTACAAGTTTTAGATTCCTCGTTTCAAATAAATGAACAATTTTTCAACTGATTACGTTTATTATTTATTTATGTCTCAACGATTTTATAAAATACGTTTCGTTTTATGTTATCGTATTTGGCCATTGTAATTCATCACAATACCTCGTGCGTTGAAATGAATGATGCCTCCGTTATAGACGGCCGACCAGCTCATTCCATGCATTTTCATTAATTCAGGCACCATTGGGCAAGATCCAATTGTCCCATTATCACGTTGAAGAGAGCAGCATGGCCATTTATTCTCATCATCCTCTTCATCACCATCGCAAATCTAATGAGTTCTCATCCGGTAGGAAGACAGGCGATGATGTAGATGGTGACGTTGGGAGTGATAATAATGATGATAGCTTAATGATCATTCTGTGGCCTTCCTTGCCTGCATCAACTTTGCAAAGACCATCAAGTGGACTGTCACCTGTATATTTAAATATCCACAAATCATCTAACGATGTGAGTTGGCTTCTTTTATGCTTATTTTATATTCATCTGTTTTTGTGTACATGCTTTTTTTGTTTGTTTGTTTGTTAGTTTGGTTGGTTGATCGTTCGTTCATTCGTTTTTCATTTGTTTATTTGTTCGTTCGTTCGTGTTTTTTTTGTTTAGTTCGACAGTTTCTGCCGAATACATCAAATTGAAGACAATGTTTTTGATTTTGTTTCATACTGATTCTTCTATTTGGCTAATAAAACATTTTAAAAATAAATGGAAAGGAGGAGAGAGAGAGAGGGGAAAGAGAGAGAGAGAGAGAGAGAGAGAGAGAGAGAGAGAGAGAGGATGTTATAGCACGTAACAAGAAATAAGGATAAGATAAAATTTCGTTTTGAAAAAACAACTATGGAGTTTATGTTATATCTGTGAGTGATGACATGACAGTAACGTTTCCTAAAATGATAGGTATTGGTTTGATTGGGATGATATTGCTGTCATGTGTATCAGACAGACTGCATTATATTTTTATCCAGGTAGCTACCTCGATATTTTTCAATCTTATTTTGTATCTTCGTTTGTTTGAATGATTGTCTCTGTCCGGAAAATGTAAAGTAAAACAACGACAGCACTGAGATCACTGCCATTCCTTTTTTGATTTCTAAAGACCAACCATAAAACCATGCACGTGACGTTTTATTAGGTTCAGTGGTATCACAGTTTATTGAAAACAGCAGCACTGCGACGTAACAGCAGTAGCAACATCACCAGCAGTGTATCAAACATTCAGTTGACACCTTCGAAATTCAGCGCTACATCAGTCAGGCAGCACAGTGATTTTGAAAAACTGGTTCATAATTTGCTACTATCAACTGGTTGTTATTTATTTTATTTTTTATTATAAAATGTGCTATAATTTCATGAATATATGTTTTTTAATAACTGATAATGAAAATATGTCGTTCATTTTATTTTGTTGTTAATAATAAAATGACGACGATTTTTGTTTCTCTAACTTTTTTAATGATTTTTTTGGTTTCATTAGTTAACGGTATTACTAAGCGAAAAATAATTGATAATGCACAATGATTTTTTCACTAGATGGGCATCTGTCATCCTTCGCATCAGCAGCTTCAACATCGGCTTCATCATCGTCACCTGCCACAACCACACGTTCCACGACGACCACCACCGCGCATGCACTCTGGAAAGATCCTCTGCTCCTTCCATCCAAACAACCTCTCACTCACTCCATTCTCACCATGCACAATCCAGAGTTAGAAAAAGTTGCCAGGGACATTTTTGATGTTAGATTTTTTTCTTTTTATTCTTTTTACGAATAAATAATGAAATGATAATATTATTTGTTGAGGTAAAATATGATAAGATGGAAAACCATTTCAACAAAATAAAATTATGATTGATGTTTAATTTCAGACTATATTGAAATTTATGCTCCTACCGTTGGACTCCATTGATATGGATAAGAAGGTTGGTCTGGTTCAGTCGATCTTCGAACTCTGCATTCGTAATCATCAATGTCTGAAGGATGAGCTCTACTGCCAGCTCATCAAACAAACCGCTCACGTGGTCAGCCACATACAATCTCAACAACAGCATCACAAAACTTTGGGGGTTGGTTTCTATGTTTATTTGTGCTGTGATTTGAAAAGACAGTGCTAAAATTATGATAATAGCAATACTCACACAAACTATTTTATCTAGTTAATTGAATGGACTTATTATTTGAATATTTTTTTTACTAGCTATAGTTAAAATTAAATTAACTAACTATTAACTAGCTATAGCTATAATTAAATTAATTATAATTAACGTCCTACCTCGGGAAACCGGGTCTCTGGATGCAAAACGAAGATTGATTGATAGTTATAATTAAAATACATCGTGTTTAATCATTTGTAGTTCAGTCGTTGTTGTTTGCCAGTTGTTAAGGTTTTTCGGTTAAAGTTAGAATTGTTTTAATCAACACTGCTCTTATATCATTACATGTTTAAAGTGTTTGTTTGTAAACCTCATTATCAGACGTTACTTTGTGGTGGTCATCATTGGTTCTTGTGCGATTCATCTCCAACATCACCTCTCAACTCCACCATAGAATCATCTGACCTCAAGTTAACCTCTCCAAACAGCCAATCAGAATCTTCCATTCAAGCTTGGCAGTTATTGGCCATGGCTATCCCGTTATTTTTGCCGGCGAGGTGTTCAATAAGATGGCTACTGAGAACCTATCTGCAAAGAAGCTCCGATAGCAAGTCAGCTCTTTTTATTTACTTAATTTTTTTACTCAATTGTTTGTCTGCCCGTTTGTTTGCAGCTGTCAGTTGCTTGCTTCATTTTTGAAATTTTATTTTATTTTTATTTATACCTATGAACAATTGATTCCTGTGGAAGTTTATTTTCAATGCATTTCAATATAGGACATCTGTTTCGAATAAATCAAATACTGTCCACTTGTAAAAACTTACAGTATTTCTTTTGAGTTTTTGGAAAAAAACAGTCTACTTTTTTTAACATTAAAATTGTTGCAATGTTATTACAATAGATAATAATAAGCAAGGCCTTATGATATTATCAAGTCCTCAAATTACAAATATATTATCTATATATTTCAACTATATTATCTATCTATTTAACCGAATTTGATTGTTGGAAATTATTAAAAGTTCATTAAATTTGTTAAATTTGATTATTGCTGGTCTCATCCAACTTTGATCATCTGTAGGTCGGAGTCAGGGAAATTTGCTTCATTTTGTGAGAGGGCAGTGGAACGCACGATGAAGAATGGTCCCAGATGCCACCCACCATCCCACTTGGAGGTCATATCCGTCTTGTCTCACAACCCTTACCACCACTCGCAACCCATCAGCATTCCCATCCATCTTCCAAACAATTCTTACCAGGTCCCTATTGTTCTGTGTTGTATTCTCAATAGCAATAAAAATGTTTTGTTGTTGTTAAATTTTGTTATACTTATAAGTTTTTTAGTTGCTTGTAACATTTTTAAAATTTATTTAATTTTTAGTTTTTTAATTTAATCCAACCTTTCTCTTCGATGACAGGTTGTGAGTTTCGATGGTTCAACTACCATACTGGAACTGTTGAAGACATTAAATGAGCAGCTGAATATGAGGTCACACACACAGTCAGGCTATGCACTGTTTGCCTGTAACTCTAATGCTCAAGAACAACTTATATGCTGCCACGATTACAAGACAAAGGTGAAATTACTAATTACTACTAACTTCTTCACATCACTTCTTCTCAATTATTTAAATCTGACATTCATTTTTTCCTTGCTTTTGCTTACTGACCAAATATTTAAAAATAAAATAGCAACTTATCATCAGATGGCGACTTTGTACTGTAGTCAATCAATGCCTTATATAATAAATGGCCCATCTTTGCTGTTTATATCTAAAGCTGTTTAATGACCGAGTTCAAGTACAAATAAAAATGAAGACACTCAACCTGTTATTTCGGTTATTTCGTATGTAGACTGTATGTTTTTATTTGAAATTTGGCTGCTAATTCTTACTCTCTCTTAACATCTGGGCAGATATGCGATGTCTTGTCATTTCTGGAAGCTAAATTCAATATGAACAGCAAGAGCAAGCACGATAGGAATCCTGTGAAACTCATTTATAAAAATAGGTTGCCTTACGTTACATTATGTTTCATAATGAAAATATGATTTTTAATGTTTTTCTGAAAAAAATGTTTACACAATTAAACTAACGAATATTTGATTATTGTTTTAAAAAATAAATAAATATTAACAGCTGAACACGATTGTTTCAGATTGTACATGAGGCACAATCTACAGCACGAAACATCGAAAGAGATGTTGTTGTGCTGTTACCAACTCAATGAGCAGATCTGCAGTGCATTCATGCCTATCAGCTGGTCCCTCGCCGTCGAACTGGCCGCGTTGATGGCCCAAGTGAGTGGAAAGACAACATGGATGCGATGAATGATGTGATCGGTTGATATAATTTGGTAGTGTTTTCCTTGCTCGGTGAATATTTCTGGTATAAATGCTAGTATAGACAGTAATTTATCTACAAATGTATGGTTCATCGAAGTTTATAACTAATGACACTCCAAAATTTAAAAAATTTTACCTTTTTTCTTGTTAATTTTTCCCAGATTGAATTTGGTGATATAAAGATATCGTCAGACGTTAAACCAGCAAAAACATCATCGACTTCATCTTCTTCATCGTCATCATCGCATCTCATCATCTTGGCGCAGGTCATTGAGAGATTTTTTCCTCAACATCTTCTATCTGAATATTCAGCTGATGTCAAGAAGAACAGAGAGTATGTGAATAGTTGAATTTTCGCTTTTACTTCTTCTTTTGTCTCTGTCTTATTTCATTATTCTCTTTTATTTAATCTGAAATTTCACTTATATATAAAGAATCAGTAAAATTTAATTAGGTCATATTTTCTATTTCTGTGCAATTTAAGCTGCAGCAAACTTCTTAAATTGAATTTTTTCATTTCAGCTCAATGGAATCGAGGCTTGTCGACAGTTGGTTCAAATTGCGAGGTAAGGCATCGAGTGATTGCGTGCGCGTTTATCTGACGGTGCTTAGGAGGTGGGAGTTCACTGGGGCTGCCATGATGCATGTTAAAGTTCGTCTTTGTTGTATTCGGATGACGATTTTTCTTACAATAGCATATTCTTCATTCTAAAAAATTATTTTTATGCAAATTGTAGATTTTTTTGGTATTTTAAAAGTGAATTTAAGCTAAAAATAAGAAAAAAAATAAAAACTTTAAAGAATCTGGTGAATTTTTATTAAATGTAAGCATGCTGCTGTTTATTATTTCCCTAATTCAGTCGATCAGAAGTGAGGGAGGTGGTGTTGAGGATGTCATATTGGGCGTTCATTGTGACGGTGTTTGTGTCCTACACTGCAAAACGCTGGTCAGTTATGCTATATATTTGTGCGTTCATCACTGGAATGCTTCTAGCTTAATGACAATTTTAATTTTTGTAATTATATTTTTTAAGAGTCCTTTGTTAAGATTGGAATATTCGAACATCCAAACATTCGGGAGTTGTGATAATTGCTTTGTTATCATCAGTCGATCGTCATCACCTTCGTCCTTCCATGTGACCTCATCTTCATCTTCCTACAAACGCCATTCCTTCATCGTCAGCAAAAGCCAAGTTTGTTTCTCCAATTTATTTCATCATTCTTTTGTGTCAAGGTTTATTTAATCAAGAAAATTTGTTATTGATTTTTTTAAATTTTAACCACGTTTTTGATACCAAAGGCTCAAGAGATTACCAACTTGATGGCTGATTACATTAAAATAAACAGTTCATTAAAGACTAGATAGATCCAAACATCGAACTTTCGATCATGCCAATGTTAACGTTGACGACGTTTCACAAGTTTCAAATTAATTGTGGGAACACTTTATTTGTTTATGCTCTGTAATGAGTTATTAACTCTGTAATGAATTATTAAATTTCAATTCTTTCATTCAACTTTTATCTTTTTATTACATGTTTAGGTTCGTATCATGTTTATTTTTTCTGTTAATTTTGTATTCAATGTCTATCGATTTTACTGTATTTTTTAATTTTTTCATATTTACCCATAATCTCAAGGGTATTTTATTTATAATCGAGTATCTATATTCTCTTTATACGGGAAATTCCAGCAACAATAAGTTACGTCATTTAAGTCATAATTGTTTGTATATATATATATATATATATATATATATATATATGTGTATATATATATATATATATATATAGTTTAAGCATCATGTTTCTGTTTGGGCTACTTTAAACTAAGTTTAAGTGTAAATTAATATAATTTTTGCTGAGAGCAATATATTTTTCATTATTAAATATTTGCCCATTGTTATGTATATACTGAATTGTTTTATATCAGCTGTTAATATTCTTAAATGTTTTTTTAATACTTGTTTTACTTTTTACATGGAATTGTCATTTTGCGTAATCCACTTGCTAGTCATTCAGTTCTTTATGGTGTTCACAATTCTGGTTTATATGAAGTTTATGATGAATAATTTTTAAACAAAATTAACTTTTTTATTAATAAAAATGTTTAAAAATATCGTATACAAATTTTAGATCAAGGGTTAATCCAGTGATGACGAGTACTTAAGTACATTTGTACTTAAGTACGTACTTAAGTACAAATGTAGCACTTAGATACTTATACTTAAGTACATATGGAAACCTGTACTTAAATACTTATACTTAAGTACATTTTTCAGTACTTGTACTTATAAGTAATAAATTTTTCCTGTAAGTACCTGAAAAATTTTAAGCAAAAATAAGATAATGTCAACATTTAAAAATTGAAAACTGTAATGAAAACACACACACACATTTTCACATTGACATTCTTGTTTATCTCTCTTATCAACATTTGTTCTTGTTTAGTCATGGATAGCGGGATGTTAAGATAACCATTGGCTAATTGAGTCATTAAAAGGTGGTTAACTCACATCACTCTGACATCTATATATCTATATCATAGACTCTACATGATCTATATACACATGCACGCTATATATAGTAGTTATTATATATATATATATATATATATATATATATATATAACAATCCTTATACGTATATNT